GTGCAGCATGTTGGTGGGATATAGTCTTGAACCAGGTCTAGTTGCTTTGCACTTGTTACAGCGTGCTCGGTTGTGACCATTAGTTTATCAAGAAACGGATGCTCACTCTTGAATAAACCAGTTTGATGACAGAAAACAAGATGCCACCTCAAAGCCTTGACACCATTTAGACAGAGCCTTTTTTCCCCTCACTCAAGAAGACAAAAGGAAGATCTGCTTGCAGGGCAGGGAACACTTCATCTGCTAGTGAGCTTTATTTGAGACCTTCCATTGTTTTTGATAACTTTCGAACTATGAATATTATAGTTATCCTCTTCATACCCAACATTCTGTTATTCCATTTAATTGATCACCTCAGACATGTACACATAGTACAATGTTCTGTCAAATCTCTTTAATAATAATTAAAACCTAGACAGAAAACCAAAGGGACAGTAGCCTTTGATACAGGCGTACTTGATACATGTAGGTGAGTGGCTTGTATCTTTCAGCCACAACCTGTGATTTGGAAAGCAGAGGAAGATTGGGGAGAGTGGAACAAATAAAGCAGCATGCAAAGAAAGTTGTGTCCGATAGACTGGGGCTAGTGGATTTTACCATCGGGCTAGTGAATTCTGTTATCTTAACTTGCCCGCCTGGCAACTGAAATTTTTTAAGGAATTCAAATCACATAAGAACTGTTATCAACCCTGCTCATCATCAGGCTAGTTAAAATGACTTTTGTGCTAGTACGTGCTAACTACAGCTTCCCCTAATGGTAAGCTGTAAACTGACTTTCTTTGCACCCTGATAGAGTGTAGGGAAGGTTAGGGGTTTAAGAAGATATGCCATTTTCTTACTTGCTTTCTTTGCTTCTGTCTTTGCCAAGACACAACTGCAGTACTTGTGCATCCTTAGAAAACTAGCAGTAACCAATGTTTAGGAAGTGCGGGCAAACACGTGCTGTTACCTTAGAGATGTGATTAATGAGAACCGGTTTCTAATTTGCAGATCAAGCAAGGAAAAGGTGATGTATGAAAAGGAAGTAGTAGATCAAACAGCAAAAGTTGAGAAGATGAAAGAAGAGAAAAAGGATGAGCACGACATTAAGAAACAGGTTTGTTGTGTGACAACATTAGAATTATTGTGCGCCACAGTGAAGAAACTTCGTATTTATGCACATAAAAACTCTTATTTTCTATCCTGTGTTAATTAATAATATTTCCTTATGTGGAGTTTCTGTCATTATTTGCTTGTGATGCTATGTAGTTGATTAATCTAAGAATACATTAATAACTTTTTATTTCTAAAATCTATGAGTTCTTAAAGGCATTATTTTCCAAGAACAATGTTCCTACAGTTCTTTAGTCTAAGACTAATTGTGGCTTCAATTAAATTGCAGATAGAAGTCCTTGAAGAGTCCAAAGTTATGATTCCAGATTGCAAAAGGAGAATTAAGACTGCCTATTTAGACCTGCAGGAACTTGTGGTAAGTGATAGTGATTCATCCAATGAACATTTTGAAACTTATGCTATATAGCTTTCACCACACTCTGTGTGTAGTTCATGAAATTATTAATTCATGATTAATATCCATTGTTAGTGGTTAAGACATAAATAGGAAAATATAAGTCCGCCGAGAGTGTGTTCTATGCTAAAAATCTAAAAATCATTGTCTTCCAGGCCCTGGAAAACTACTTAAAAATTTCCTTTTCTCTTCACATTACTGGATTTTCATAAATATTTTATTGCTGGATGGGTATGTAGTGTCATATAGGATGCAGTGTAGGATGGGAACTGTTAATTTCTTGAGGAAAACTACTGTCAAATTTACGTATTTAAAGCCTTTTACAAAATAGTGAAAGGTTTGTGTTCAGTGTTCTGTTTTTCTTTTTTTTTTTTCATATTGCACCTTGAAAAACGTCTGGTATTTCATTCATTCTCCCTCACTGAGAAACTTCCAGAAATACTGAGTTGAATTTGTTGCAACATGCAGTGTGACAGTCAAGAAATGGCAAGTTAATAATTTAGGTAGAAATTGATGGATGAAAAGCAACAAACCACTAACACACTTGATTATTTTTTCTTTCTTGACTTTAGACTAAAACAGAGAATGATCTAGGTGATACAGAAGAATACAAAACTGCCAAGCAACTTTTGGAAGAAACCAAGCTAGAAGATTAACTACCTGACAAGAAAATTGAACTAATATACGCCATCTCTTCTTTTTACAGTGTGAAAATACTAAAAAGAGTACGCAGTTTATCACAGGCAATATATAAGGGTAAATGTATATTGTTCACTTCAGTGAAGGTGGACACATGTTAGAGTGTTAAAAATACTTGATCAAACACAGAAAAAGGTTGGCTTTTTAACTTTAACTTATAATGGAAAAATATAGTCAACTCTTTTGCTAAGATGGACACTGTCTCGTTGATCTGCACTTTTTGTTTTCTAGAGATAGCCTGCATAAAATGCCTTTTGTTCTCACTTTTCAACCAAGTGAGGAACACTAGACACGTGTGACAGGGTAAGGCATAGAAAAAAAATGTTTTTCCCCCATTGTGCATGTGGCACTTCTTGCTCACTTCACGAATGCCTTTGCTTTCCTGTAATACACGAAAAAATAATGCCTGTTCTGCAGGCTGGAACTTGTTTTGTTTGATAGATCAGTTACTGCAGATGGACAAGGCAAAGACAGTGTAAGATACAATTATAGTGTAGAGAGGAATAATTAAACAGTGCAAACGGCCCGTACTTTGGTGGACACCAGAGTTTGTGACTGTTCATAGCCTTTCTCTTATCCATGGTCTTTTGAACTGTTTAAGGTCGAAAAATACCCTAAAACGAGGATCGTTTTGAAAATTTTCGAAAGTGGCAGCTAAACCTAAGGTTATGGAAAACTTGAAAAGGTCATGGAAAAAGTCATGGAATTTGAAGAGCTCAAATGAGTATGAACCCTGTTAATCAAGGTTGCAGTACGTGCTATCAGCCTTGACCTTTGGCTCAGCTGATAACACTTACCTCAACCTTGATTATTGCCGATATCACAAAAACCTCATCCAATAATTGTTTATTATTGTTCATCAGAAATAACAGGGTATACCCAGCCAATTGATAATCAAGTAAGACTGGAAAAATCTCTTTATAAGAATTCCATTTGTTTTTCATCTGCATGCATGAAGTAATATTAACGTTTGAGTTTTGTTGACTGTGGACCACTTTTATTAATATTTTAGAACACTCATTTTGTGGTATGATTTACAACAACAACAGAGAAAAACGTATCTTTAAAAAAAAAAAAAGTTGTCGGTGGATGACTGCTGCATTACAAGTCTACTAAAACGCTAATATTTTTATTTGTCATATTGTTCTGTGATTGATCAAACATTTTCCATGATTGATTATCACTTATAACATAGCTAGAAAATTCGCCTAATCAAATTCAATAGCGCGAGCGTGCTTCATATTCCTATTGAGCACGCTGATGACGTCAATAAACTGTTCGTAATTCCTCGAGTTGTTGTGAGCTTAGCAATCCTGAGTCTCCTGAGTGCATCCATAACTCAGCAATAGACAATGAAGCGTTTACCATGTGTTTTGTAAAGAAATTTAAGAGGAAACGTTTGAATTTGTTAACCGATAGTAAGGAAAAGAGGTGAGTGTTGTTGTTGTTGTTGTCATCTCCGCGAGCTGTGCGGGCTATGGCGTGAGCTCATTCTTTGCAAAGTTGTTTTCTCTCAATAACAATTTTTCGGTAAATTAATAGTTTTCCGGCACCTAAATATGGATTTTACAATCATTTTAGAGTACACTTTCTCTCAGTTTCAGGATAAAAACATAAGATTAACTGTGAGGAAAAAAGATATATTCACGTAAACATTGACGCGTACTGCTTTGAGCGCGCCCTTCAATAATAAAATTTTCAGTTAACTGCTGCATTGATCGCTTTGATAATGTTATAAAACAATTAGTTCATGCTGCAGCTGTGCGTATGTCGAGATATTGAGCACTTGGGAAGTTTGGAGAGCACTCAAGAGGCTAGAGTTGCACTCGGCTGCGCCTCGTGCAACTCTTACGCCTCTTTCGTGCTCTCCAAACTTCCCGCGTGCTCAATATCTCGACATACGCACGCTGACGCATGAACTAATTGTTAATTCTTTAAGGGTTTTCAATCAATGATTGATTTTAATCAATGATCAGCACATCACTTCTTGTAGGTATGACAAAGAAACATTCTTCCTCATCAACAATTTCTTTAGAGTTACACAGCTTTCTGAAGCCATCTGAAACCCTTCCTCAGTGATGCTTGAGGTTACTGTAGGTGTCCATTTTGGAAGATGTCAATCTCATATCGATGTAGGCATTTGTTAACAGAGAGTTGGCTCAATAAAATTTTATGTTTGTGTAGTAGTGGAGAGAAGGAGAGAAGTTGTGGTAAGAGAGAACTCTACTCACATAAAAACATCGCTCCTCAATTCTCATGATAACCTGTGCACTGAGACAACCAAGAGAAGTTTTAAGCTAATCACTGTTATTTAAGTAAGATCAATCATAAAATGTTCTAGTTTGTACTCCTCTGTAGCTGTTAAATTATTATTAATAAATTATTATTAATATTATGGAACCTTTGGAAATAAACTATGAAATATACAGCATTTCTGTCTCCTATTTGCCTAGTGTCTTCAGAACTGTGCTTCTGCAGCACCCAGTGGCTTATGGCAACTTGCCTTTTCCATACTGTGACAAGGTTTTCGCACAACAGCATTACAGGGGTAGGCTCAATAGAATGGAGAAGATAATACCTCATGCTGCCATGGTAGCAACATTTCAGGGTCTCAACAAACTGTGGCCTTGCAAATATGGCAAAAGATTGGCATGTATGACTTTCCAGTGCATGATTGCACTCAGAACAAAACGGTAGCCCATACTTTTCTTCCATTGTTTGACGATGCAAATAGCGATCTCTGTCAAGAAAGATTGTTCAGATCCAGAAATTGTGCTACCATGGTAATGTGATGTCACACTCCTCTCTATTACTAGCCTCTGTTCAGGAAGTGACCCCAAGCTCCTCCCGTGAAAAGCAAAAGTCTCTTCCCAGGGACGAACATGACTGGACCCAAGGGAGCATTAAAAATCGAGCCCATTACCAGGGCTGTCACTAAGATTTCAAATTGTGGGGGAAATACAAATTCTGGTATGGGAACCAAAAATCAAACAGTTGGGGATTTCTTTTGGTTCTCTTTCTCTAAATCTCTTCCATTTTCCATGAAAGTAGCCAGGGATGATGGACATAGTAGCCGGCAGAAATCTCTGTCCCCAAGCCTTAATGACAACCCTGATAATACCAATGCTGTGCAAGATGTCATAGGTTCAGAGTGCCTGGGCTTGCTTTCATTGAAAAAAGTGACATTCAAGTAATCATTCAATAAGGCCTGACCAAAATTTTCCATTGTCTAATGAAATCAATTTTGAGGTTGGGCATGAAGAATATTAAAAGATTAATATTTATGTAGCTAAAGACTTGCATGGTAGTTGAAGAGAGAATTTCATATTCTTTAAAAGACGACATACCGTAATACTCCGAAAATAAGCCCCTCCAAATGTAAGCCCCCACGTCGTAACACCAAAAACCCTCTGTTAAATCGCCCCTCCGAATATAAGCCCCTGGAGGCTTGTACTTGGAAATTGCCCTCAAATACAAAATAAAACAAAGCAAAAATGGTACAGTAACATAAATTTTTGTATTTGCCAAAGAACTAATTACTTGTGCCAACTGATTGCAATCAGAAAGTGCCACAGTTTATTGCTGTTTGAGTAGTTCGTCTTCACTCTTGGCTTTGATTTCCTCGGTTCATATAGACAAAGTACTTGCGTGGCTACGTTTTAGAAAGGTCTACATCCTCAAGGCGAATTTCAGTAAAAACTTTCTGCAAATTACTGACACTGAAATTTTCTTCCAACTATAAGCTAGTCCAATTGATTTTGAGATGCAAATTTCCCTCCAAGTATAAGCCTAGCCAATTTTGAAATGCAAACTTCCCTCCGTATATAAGCCCCTCCAAAAATAAGCCCCTCAAAAAGGGCCGTGGCTTATTTTCGGAATTTTACGATAACGTGTGTCCCAACACTTAAATGGTTTGTTCTTCTAAAACAGGCCTGGTTGAACACAATTTTGCCCTTTCTAAAAAAAATACTGGCCTGGGATGGGATAGGGGGCTTTCTGGTTACAACTCTGGGGACAAATTGAACAGATTATACATATAAAGAATGAGACTTGTTCTCCATTATTTTATTACCACAAATAAACCATATGCGCTCATTTTAAATAGTATACTTGGACATAAACTATGCATGTGTACACTCATGGGGAAAAAGCTAAAAACAGTTCCCTAGTCGTAAACACTGGCATTATTATTGCTATTATACTGCCTTTACTGTTTTCTCAATTAAATAGGAAGATAAAGGATAAGGTTTTCGGAGGGGCAGCGGGGGGCAGGATGCTAACTTACTGAATGTTGTTTTTATTTTGTACAAAACAAACCTGCTATATAATTTACAAGTCATCCATGAAATAAGTAGCAAAAGTATCTGATTAAATTTAAATAATACAACAACCAAATTTACATCGCCACAACTTCATATTAAATACTCTTTCACATGACATTATTTACACACAAATATTTGGACGTGCAAATTGCTTACGCTTTGTGCAACTTATAAATTTTATTGACTTCTTTAGCTAGCCTAGACAAAGTATTAGAAGTGAGGCTAATTGAGTTACTGTGAAGAACCTAAAAGGAATTGCCTTGCTTCTTCCCACTTTGATGTCGGGAATCTGTTAACAAGAGCAAACCGCTGGGAGACCTCTCCATCTGAAGCAGAAAACGAACATGTCACTGGAACCTTAGCCTGAGAAAACAGCCGACATTTGGCGACGTTACCACTGGTTTCCCCGCCAAATGACGTCTGCGAAATGAGCGCACAAATTCCATACTGATGACGCGTCACTACACAGATCTGGGTAGTGCTTCTGATTGGTTGAATCAAATTTCCCACGCGGCACGACCAATCAGAAGCACTACCCAAATGTGTGTAGTGACGAGTCATCAGTATGGAATTTCTGCGCTCGTTTCTCAGACGTCATTTGGCGGGGAAACCAGTGGTAGCGTCGCCAAATGTCGGCTGTTTTCCCAGGCTACTGAAAACTTAGTTTTCGCTCCTTTAAACTTTACTACAGTTTTATCTCGTACAGCTTGTCAAATGTTAGAGAGTTTTTCTGGAGTTTAATTCTAAAGGACTGTTTGCAAGAGAAGAAAAAGAAAAAAGAAAATCGTCTTGCGTCCACGTCCCTCCCAAAACGTAAAATTAGGGATTTTCACGTCGTAGACGTGCAACGATGACAGAGAAATGTAAAAAAAGTGTGATGAACGTGCAAAGTTGTTGTTTTGCTTATCTAAACCACTTCCTTTTTTGACGTGATCATTGTCGTCACCGTCGTCGTTGCTTGGTTCCAAATTTAGTATCAAGTGTTACAGGTTTACGTGTCTGTGAGTAGCGACTGACTGAAAGCCTTGAAAGCGTCTTCGAGGAAGAAAATGTTTGATACAAACAACAAAAACATACCTGATCGCCTTCCACTCTGAGAGGGCAACAATTGATCGTGCTGTAAATCCAACATTTGTTCCTAGAAACCAGAAGGCTTTTAGTTACAACCAGCAGTGTTAAGGGGTCCAAGAGTTCTTTGCCACAAGGAGTTCCTCATTGTCCTTACGGACATTAAAGAGCGCGCGCGAAAATCGCCACCGCACGTGCGCTCGGGGAAGGTCGGTCGCCCTTAGCTTTTTCCCCGCGGAAAAAAAGGGACTACCAGTAGTCTAGCCTGTGCAGCTGGCGGTATTGTGCAGTAGTCGAGTGAGATTTGGCGGTTGGTCAAGGCCTAACCCTTTGATCAAGACAGGGTACTATTGACTGCACGAAAGGCATCTTTTAAAAAGGTCACGAGTACAAGTCTCTGTAATAAAATAGTTTGGATAGTGGTTACGGTTAGGTGACACCGGATACATTTTCAACCGGTTAAACATTTTTGCGTTTTAGTTGTTTCGTTCGTACGAAATCTAGACGCCTGGTCGTTCGAAACTCCGTGTGAACAGAACAAAAATATTGAACGTTCCGGTGTGAGCGACATGTCCAGTCAAATTTTTTGGGCGGTCGAAAGTTCGTCCGCTGCCGTATGAATGTAGACTTAAGGTGTGTTTCATGGGGAAAAACCCAAATCCGCATTCCTGAATCCGAAAACGGTTTCCACGATATTCCTTTACGATAAAAAATTACGCTCTGAATCGGTTCATTAGATCAAGTCTGAATCGGATCTCGGGTTTTTACGGATCTGAAAAAAGCCGGCATACTTAACAGTATCAAAACGCCACGTTCTCACTAGTCTGCTACACAGTCGTTTCTAGTGTCGTCACGCAACGCTCCTCCCCACTCACTGGTGGGGAGAAGCGTTGCGTGACGACACTAAAAACGGCTGTGTAGCTGACTACGTTCTCATCGGTTTTCGCCGCCGCCGCCGTCGCCGTCATTGTGGCTCCTAAACAACATACACGAGGCCGGCGAATATAACATACCTCAATATAGTTCTCGAGCAAGGCGCAGCTCACTTCTTGTTCAATTATCTTCTTGTTTTCTTCATTTTGAAAACAAGCGGCGATTAGAGTTGGAAATAAGACGTTTCTGAGTCTGAAAAGAAAAATAACACGGCCAAGAAAATTAAAACGAAACTGAAACTGACTTTACGTTTAGAGAAAATTGAATAAGGGAGTTAAAAATAACAAAACTTGCGATTTTGAGATGATGATTGAAGCATTATCAAAGGCCGGACAAAACCATCAAATACCGGTGTTGATGATTCTAATCGTTTTAGTAATCGTAAGATGTTTAGTGGTTGAGTAAGATTAAACTACGGTCCGAAGGCCAACTTGCCACGGTTTTGGCTCGTTTCTTAGAAATGAGGTTAAACCTACGTACAAACGGACACAACAACTCCCAGCATTGTTGGCCCAACAGTATTGGCAGTTGTTGCGTCCGTTTGCGTGTAGCTGAAAGTTTGACCGGTTTCAAGCTTTGTGCAACAACTCCCAACAACCCACAACAACATGCAACAGGGTGTGCAAACGGACGCAAAAAGTAACATCCAGCAACGTTGCGTCCGTTTACACGGGGCTTAACAGTTTGTTTTACGTCGTTTTTTTTGTGTACAAAGCAATAAACTGTTTTAAAAGCGTTTTGTGTCAATAACCGCGGCCAGTAAAAAGCCTTAAGAAAACCTTACCTCAGGCGTTTGCACTGAAACACCTGAACTGAACCCCGACACGTCGGATCTGCAGCTACTCTTTCAAATCTGACTGCTGTTTTGAATGGTAGCGTTTTTGGTAGAACAAAAACAAGTCCTTCGTGTTTCTTCGGCCTCAAGTTGTAATTGGTGTCCGGTCTTTCAAAGCCAATAAAACTAGAATCTTGAATGTAAACGTTGCGTCCATAAAAGAGCGTCCACACTCACTGAGAATGTGCATTAACTAAACTAAACTAGTTTTAAAAACCACACCATGCGCAAGGAAATCTTACCTTGGATCACTAAAATATTGAAATGGTAAAGAACACAGGTGCTGTAGTAACGTCGGAGGCCTCCCAGTCTGAACGAATACCTAAAATAAAAGCACAGGCAGCTTATTGGAAAGAAGGGAGATATAACGTCTTTCACAAAAGGACAAATGTTGCAGCGTGTAGTTGCGCCTCGGAGTAAATAGAGACCTTAAGGGCCGACGACCGCGACGGCGACGGCAACGAGAACGTCCAAAAAGCAAAACGTTTAACTGGGAAAACAACAACTTTGGACGTGCATCACGCTTATTTTGTACATTATTTCTTTGCCGTCACCGCTCTACTACGGCGTAAAAATGCCTAATTTCACGTTTTGTGGAGAACGCAAACAAGGGACGACAAAATTTTCTTTCTCTTTCTGCCGGAACATGGTTGCGGTTCTTAGAAATTCAACTCCAGGAGAGTTCACCTACATTTGACAAAGTAAGTGATTGGGGAAATCACGATGAAGATTGAAAGAACGCGAATTCTCTTTTTAAGCGACGTTTTTGTCGCCGCCGCCGTCCTCAGATCTTGGCTATCTGCAACGGACACGACAACTTCCAGCATTGTTGGTCTAATGATGTTGGGATGTGTTGCGTGCGCGTTTGCAGTAGTGCGCAAACGGATGCAACAACTCCCAACAACACGGAACAGGGTGTACAAACGGACGCAACATTTAACATCCAACAATGTTGCGTCTGTTTACACGGGCCTTTACCACCCCAATAAATGATACGCCCAATCATTCTGCAAAAAACGCTAGCATGTGTTGCAATTTATTTGGAAAACAATTTAACCGTTGTTCACAAATTCTTAAAAAGAAAATTAAGTACATGAATAATACGGATTAACCAGGCAGCATTAGTTGTTTGGCTTCAGCCACTTAGGCTCTTGGTAGCAATTACCTGGTTGTCGGTGTTCAAAACTGTGAAATAACCACCGATTAAAATCACTTCATGAAGAAGATCTTCATTCTTTCCTTCACTGCAGACACTGCGAGGATAAATGTACCAAAAATTAACAGATACGCAATAATAGACATGGCCGAATAAGGGTTGGAGAAGAGGCCCATGTCAGCCACAGTTTTAGACAACAGTAAAATCCATTTACCGCAGAAAATTTACCGTGACCGATATGTTAAAAAATGAGCTCTTATGAAACGCCTAAGATGCTAATATTTTCGTTTTCAATAAATCTTGGAACATCAATTTGACTTTTTCTTTTCATATCTCATGAACTTGACTGATTTTCGAGAAGTTATAGTTGCAACTTAGTCAATTTTTCCGCGTTGAACACTCACTCATTAGACTAATTATTGGTCTGCCGCAAAAGTCACAAGTTGAGCTTTTTTCATCGATGTAAAGGGCTCTTGATGCAAAATGCCTTAATCGTCGACTTCTATGACTGTCTAAAACTTACACATCAGCACAGTGGCAAATTTTCCGCCCATCAAAACCATCACTGGCTTGGCTAATATACTGCGTGCGCCACTTTACACTTTTAGGCAAGCGGTCGCTTCCCAAATTCTGCGGCCCAAACGATGAAGGTGACCTCACTCTATACTCGCGTAAAACAGCTGGGAAACTCTTCCTACTCTACAGCGTAGCGATCTTTGTTAGCAGACAACTCCTATTTCTTTTGCTGCACGCAAAACGAAGTAAATAGGAGACGCCTACACGCAAGCAAATCTTTGTGCGCAGATTACTGACCACAAAAGATGACTAATTATGTGTCGAAATTCCAAAGAAACACCTTCAGCTCCCAGGGAGGTCTGTAAACAAAAGAAAGCAAACCGGCGTAAGAGGATCACAGCTTTTCCTATACAAGTGCAAATCTGAAAACGGTCCCTCCTACCTGTAAAACGTTTAAATCCACTGTTGCCATAAAGTTTAACATACAGAGTGCATCAGTAACCAAGTTAATGGTGGCATCTGGAAGTGTTGGGTTTGAGGATTGTGCATTCGCCGTACTCATTAGGGTGGCATAGAGAAACGACACGATTTCTACAACAATAAAGAAAGATTTCTCGAGTTTGAAGCAGAGCACAACAAATCAAATCAAGACATAGACTTTACTTTGATACAAATGAACTCCACTGACTTACCTATAAGTTCTGTCTGTTGAAATGTCGCAATAAATTGAGTGAGGTCTTCTTTTCTGTTTTCAAAAATATTGCTCGACCTAGGAAGGAAAAAAGGTAGAAAGATCTTCAGAGAAAGCAGATAGACATGTTAATGAGATAGCGTAGCTATCTGTTACTTGAAGGTTCTTCGGTAAGCGGTATATGCAATCTGTTGATTAAAAACAAACAGAAAAAAAATACTATAATTAACGTGAATAAGTGCGTGAGCTGGAGCGAGGGGATTCAAAATATGTTACTGACTTGCAAAATAAATGTTCGAAAGCATTGAAACAAAGTTCCATGCACGTTTTAACCTGGTTGTTTAAACTGACCAAACTCCGAATGTTAACGAGTTAATTCTCATGATAAGGGCGCTTTTATATTGATACTAGAAACCTTTAGATTCGAGGACGAGATTTTACTTGACGTTTTCTCGCGTATCCTCACAAAATAGACACCCCGGAAAGCTTCATTTTCTTTTTATTCAGCAGTTAAAACGTTATCACGATTAACTGTTATTAAAGGAGGTTATGCCCTCTGCCGATCGCAAAATGGTAAAACTTCTAACATTTGATAACTTGTTTTCGACACTACGACATTCTCGCTAAAATTCGCAATAGAATGAGAATGACGTCACGCTCGGCTATTGCGTTTCGGCGCCAAAATGACGTTGGTTCACACTAAGTATTGAGAAAATCTCTTTCTCGTAGTCGTACTTGTCTTAGAATCTAAAGGTCTCTAATAAATAAAAGACGGCAATTTGCTCACCGTGATCCTAGGTACTGAGCGGTGGCAGATAACAGAGCCAAACAGGCCTGAGCGTAACTAACAGCCGCAAGATCATCGTTAAGTGGTCCGTGAATCGTGCTAAAGAACGTTCCGATGTCATCAACTACGCCGGAGCATACCACATAACTAAAAGACAGATCAAACAACAGTCAAGGCTACGTCGAGGCATCTAACAACTCTAACCTGCCATTTAGTACTCAACCTGCTTGTTGACAAGCTCATCAATGGCAAGTTACACACTGGCACGATAGAAGCGAACCGCATACTGAGAAGTTAACGCGTTCCAGAACAGCCTGGAAATAAAACTATCGCCAGGTGTCCATCTTCCATAGCTTGGTGTAGATGGTCGAAAACGATTCGACAACGCTAGTATGGGTGCGGAACTTTTAATGCGTTTTTGATAACACATCCAAGAAAGGACATTTTCTAAAATGCATTAAGAATGTGGCGTGGTTTTAGCTCCTAGAATTCAAAGTTAGCAGAGAACAGATACGGTGGAGTCGGTTGGTGTCCCAGCCAGAATTATAGCGCGTGCTCGTCACCTATTAGTAGTAAGTTTACGCAACAGGGAGGCAGGAAAAAAAAGGACGGTAAAACGCTTGTGTGCTTCCCCGTCCTGTTGCGTAAGCTCACTACTGACAGAAGTGAGGCCTCAATTTACCTGATCAAATCCACCATTCTTTGAACTAGTGTAGCTACTTCCTTCTCTTCAGGTGATGCTGTGGCAAAGCATTGGAGAACTGTAGCCAACACTTTTAACAGCGCAGTAGCCAGGGGATCTGGAAGCGAATGGTTTGTAGAACTACTTGCGGTTTCTTTTTCCTTTTCCCCTGATTTCTTTGAGGTGCCTTGTGATGATAAGACGCCCTGTGAAATCATATAATTCGAGCAACTAGTAAAATAAACTAAGATGAAACTTAACTCATTTTTATTCCTTCTCTTTTTATATCCGCGAAAAGGTCTGTATCGTGCTAAACACAAGAACGTCAGTTTTCTCAAAAACCAAAACATCATCATCACTTACTACTACTGCTGCTACTACAAATACTACTACTAACTTAATACTGGGCAAATTGACATGTGTGCATGATCGAAAGTGCATCACATGTAAACGTATATAAAGATAAAACACTATCAAAAAGTTATAACACGATGCCTTGACGCGTTTCATATATAGGCGAGAGCCTAGGGCGAGGAAAGAACGATGGCCTTAAAAATAAGCATGTTAGGTCATTCGCCATGGGAAAAATGCACAAAATAAAATTATAACATAGCTAGAAAATTCGCCTAATCAAATTCAATAGCGCGAGCGTGCTTCATATTCCTATTGAGCACGCTGATGACGTCAATAAACTATTCGTAATTCCTCGAGTTGTTGGGAGCTTAGCAATCCTGAGTCTCCCGAGTGCATCCATAACTCAGCAATAGACAATGAAGCGTTTACCATGTGTTTTATAAGGAAATTTAAGAGGAAAGGTTTGAATTTGTTAACCGATAGTAAGGAAAAGAGGTGAGTGTTGTTGTTGTTGTTGTCATCTCGGCGAGCTGTGCGGGCTATGGCGTGAGATCATTCTTTGCAAAGTTGTTTTCTCTCAATAACAATTTTTCGGTAAATTAAAAGTTTTCCGGCACCTAAATATGGATTTTGCAATCATTTTAGAGTACACTTTCTCTCAGTTTCAGGATAAAAACATAAGATTAACTGTGAGGAAAAAAAATATAGTCACGTAATCATTAACGCGTACTGCTTAAAATTTTCAGTTAACTGCTGCATTGATCGCTTTGATAATGTTATAAAACAATTAGTTCATGCTGCAGCTGTGCGTATGTCGAGATATTGAGCACGCGGGAAGTTTGGAGAGCACGAAAGAGGCGTAAGAGTTGCACGAGGCGCAGCCGAGTGCAACTCTAGCCTTTACGCACGCTGCCGCATGAACTAATTGTTAATGAGAGACATCACTCAAGGGAAATGAGACTGATGTGTATTATCTGCAGTGATTCACAATAAAACGTTGTTCAAAATACGGTCATTTATAAAGTAAAGAAAGGAATATATTTATTACAATTTAATGGCAAGGGTTTCAGGTAAGTGTTAAAAAGAAAGGCATTGCCATAAGGACAGTCTGTGAAAAGGTCAAAGAACCCATACAAGACAGACCACCTTCTAAAAATATTCATATCATAAACACTAACATTATATATAAAGACAAACAATTTAAAGTGTAAAAATGCATATGGAGGAAATTAATGTTTAATGAGTGTTTGGAACTGATCAGACGAAAAACTGCGCATTTTTGCATCCTTAACTTCTCCTTCTAAAATCACTTTGTTTGAGAAGTCATATAATCAAGCACTCGACACAGTGTTTCATCACCAGATGAAACACCTCGAAGTTCGTCAAAAATACTCCGCTGCGAGTCGTATTTTCAACTCTCTTCTCAGTGATTCATCTGGTGATGAAACAC